TTTTTCCTTTTTTTTTTTTTTTTTTTTTTGATTGAGGTGTTTTTACTTAGTTAACAATATTACATATTTATAAAAAAATACTCAAAAAATAACTTATATTTTAAGTATAATCATCATTCGATCAACTTCAAATCTACCTCATAAATCTTACATTTTGGGGTAAATTTTTAAATAAAATTTCATGATAACTAACATTTTCCTGGCATATATGTTTTAATGACTTACGTTTTGTGTTTTGCTTGAAACACAATTGTAACTTGTTCACTAAAGAACATACATAGTCAAAATGTTTGTGTATGTCAAAGTAAAATGATAATTGATGATACCGTTTGTTCCAGTGAATGGATCGGACTTGTCCAAGCTCCTCAAACCCACGTCCAAATGATCAAGCCCACTGGATAGCCTGTAAACAAGTTCAACGGGGAACGGAGTAGTCCCCCAGCGAACCCTCCGACGAGTAAGTTAGGAAGAGAAGTAGAATGTAGAGAGAGGATAGCGATAGAAAAGTTTAACCTTCTTCTTGTCTTCAACGTTTGCTTATAGCCTTTGGTAATCATTTCGCTGTCCCTTCCGACCTGCCCTCCTCGCCGAAAGTCTATGCTGTAGCTTACCTTGTTCAGGGTAAGGGGGTCCTGTTCCGACGGGGAGATGTTGTCATAATAAATGCTGTGATGGGCTGCATTAATGGTAATGTGCAGTGGCAATAACTTTGCAGATCTTTGTCTGCTGTGGCTCGTCATTCACCTGCCACGTGTCTGAATGTCATTGGCTTTTTACGCCATGTTGGATTCCAGCTGTTCTGGACTTCACCAGCTGGGTTATGCATTGGGCTCCAAGTGATGGGCTTGGGTTGTTCATAGTGATTTATGGCCTTTATGGGCTTATACACGTCAATAATACAAAGGAAATATTTTGTAAAATGATAATACAAAGGAAATATTTTTTCTGATTTTATATCCACTTAATTTACATATATTTAAAATGTTTCACATTTTTTTATAAAAATTACTTAATAATGAAAAAATTATTAAAAAAATAAAAATTCACCTACTGTAAAAACTGATACAAGGCTGGGTTCTTGAGTTGAGGTCAGTGTGCTTGGCAATTGAGTTTTGAAAATGTGTTTGTGAAAATCTCAACCAAACAAGTTTTTTATTTTAAAACTTGAGTTTTGAAATATGCGCTGTGAAAATCAAATAAGTTTAGTTTTAAATTTTGAAAAAGTAATTCAAAAACTCAACCAAACGAGTGCAAGCTTTTTTATTACTTCAATCAAGACGTTTGTGGGTTAACTACCAAAATAAATGTATATTAACCTAATCCCTAATTGTAATGACTGAACTAACAAAGAGAAAAGGGGCTCTAGCGTGCCACCGTTGTAATGACATCTTTCTCCAGATGATACTATTCTCACCCTATTTTATTTTGAAAATATTCTTTCCGTGATCCTTATTATACATAAAAAAGAAATTTAATAAGGACAAAAAAAAAAAAAATGAATACATTTGGAACAAAATAGAGTGTAAATAGCAACTCCAAAAGAAAATATTCTAATGTACTTTAATATTTCTATGACGTTGTTCATTCACTTTTTAAATTAACAAATCTTAACACTTAAAATTATACTCAACTTTTCATTATTATTATTATTATTTTTTTTTTCTAAAATAACAAGTCTCCTCCAAGGGAGATCTTACCAATCTAATAACTAATCACTAACTTTTACTGATCAAAAAACAAAAAGAATACACAAATACACAATGCTATGAAGGATACTACATTCTTAATCCATATGTAATATTAATCTAATTATTAATAGTACATTAGACTTGTATAAATGATATTACATTACAAATATACATTAGTTATGGAATTTATTGCCAATATTGTGTTGACAAAATTAAAAACTTAATATAATACAAAAATGTGGTAAATCTAACATTATTGTTAATAAAACAGTCTCGATTTCTCTTAAAAGGAAGAGTTATTGTAAAACTTCCACCCAAAGTGACAACAAAAAAATCAAAAAATAAAATATTGTCTTTTGTAAAATAAATAAATAAATCTTATTTGATCCATTCCCCATTTCTAGTCTAAAGGCACTTAAAAGAAAATGACATCAAATAAATAAATAAACCTTACTAATGTAGTTAAAAGCAATTAACTTGGGCCAAGCCATAGTTAGCTGCAACTGCAGCTTGCATTTCGTTCGCAACAATGCTACAAACCCATAAATATTATCCAGAATCAATCATTGTGTGGTTAAAATTCATCTAAACCATAAACCCCACAATACAATAAATCAATCTCAGCCATGCACTAGTGCTCTGAACAGTTTTCATGGCAACTTTTTTTGGGTCCATGGCTTTAGTGTTTCGTTAGCAATGTCTTTCAAAACAAAAGCAGATGGCCCAAGATTAGAACAATTACTTTTCCAACATGGATTCAGTTTGGTGCTGTTAAAAAGCCATCTGTATTCTATACTACTAGATAAGATGGAGCATAACTATAAACCTTACATTTTTGGGTGCATATGCTGGTTACCAGAACACACTGAAGCTACCCAGTTCATCTTTCCAAAATCATGATGTGCTGCTTCTCTTTGCCCCAAGTAGATCATCACTTTTCACTTTTTACGATACACTGAAAGGATAATGAACAGATCCTATTTATGCCACCAAATTCTTCATCTTAGTTTCAGAAATTATGCCCTCATCAAGATGGCAATAGCCTCCCACTATAAACTACATATCACATCCTGTTATGGCAACAATTGAAATCATCAGTCATTCTTAGCAATTCCACAGATATATGACATAGCAAAGTAATTTATCCCCAAGATCAAAATGTCGTACGTCTCTGAGATAAACTGAGTATAGGAGGAAGAGAGAAGAAAAAACACATCACCGAGGGGTTCTCTCGGTCAATGTCAAAGCTGTTGATAGCACATGGTTCAGCCAAGAGTTCAATGGGTTCCTCACCTGTGCAAAGGAACAGTGTGCAACAAATCAACCACCAGATAAGAGAGGTTACAGATTGTCTGAAGCAGGTATTCCTTTTGTAGAGGAGGCAAAAGGTTTGGATGGGTCAAAACGAATAATGCATTTAAAAAACCTGACCATGTAATAAACGGGTTTAAGTGATTTGGGTTGAATTTGGTACACAGGTATGGAAAATTAATCTGATCAACCCATTAACCTGACAAATTAACCAGATCAACCCAACAGGTATACAACTCATTTATAACCTGTTTATTTATATATTTCGACGAGAGTTTAAATGGGTGAAATTATATGGATTTAAGGTTTCCGGTTAAGTGTGCCAGCTCTATCTTTTTGCCACAGAAAACAAGAAATATGAATTCAGCCACTTAGCAAATAAGATGACCTTAAGCCTTTCCACTAGCGCACTCAAATGGAAAAAGCCAGATATGGCAACAAACTTCATACCTTGTTCAACAACAGCAAGGATTCCATCTTCTGAGCAGATCATAACAGGTAACACCTGTGATGTTGACATGTTACCAATGTTTGAAGAATAGCTATCATACTGGACCTCTCAAATTTCACTCTCAGATAATGAGTGGGACTGAAACTCACCTGCTGCAACCCCAGAAAGAACTATTGGCTGTTGTTGCCACCAAAGATCCCATGCAAATACAGTACCAGAAGAGCCTCCTGCCTTCATGTAAACCAGCATAATAAATAAACAATCTCGAAATTTTTCCCAAGTCAGAACACAGAAAGACAACTTATTCGGTTTCCAAATAACCATGTAATCCAATAATTAAATGTGGAAGTATTTCAATGTGATCACAAAATCCTTTGAATCATCATCCAGCATGAAATTTAACCATGTCAACCAATATATTATCATGATCAGTCAAAATATTCAGCTTGCATAAAATTCATGTAGAATGATTTTGTTCAGATGCTTACAAAAATAACCATCTTAAATGAATGTGTTTTTTTTTTTTTTTTTTTTTGAACAGTAAAATAGGGGTTCTCGAATGTTCATAAGCATAATTCCTGTCTAGTCTATTTAATATTAAAAGGAAAAAAAAAAAAGAAGCAAATGTTGAGAAATCAAAATTCATAGACTTTGACAAGCTAAGTTTAAGAAAGTGAATCATTCTAAACCCTTGGACACAGAAATATATGCCATAGAAACAATTTTAGTCAGAGTTGGTAGTATTTGCGCCAATACATAAATCTCAATGATCATCAAGATGAACATCAACAAGCAACTAAACACAACCAGAGCTATCTCGGCTACTTAATCAGCAGACAATTAGAGATCCTATTTATCTCAAAAAAACCTAATCAGTTGACTCAAGGACAGAATATCAGCATGCATCTGCAGCAGCAGTACAACAACAAACTTCGTTACACTGTGGCAATCAAATGAACCATATAATTATGTAGCTGCCCAAACCCCTTATAATACCACAATGTGATACATTTTGATAAGATCTGTTTCTAACACAAATAACAGTAGGCTTTAGTTTATATTCCAAATCATCATCTTTATTATCTTTACCAAGTCATTACTGAACCTTTTAGCAACTAAGAAAACTACAGACAAAGCATAAATATTATCAGCCACTGGATATTCCAAATATACTGTAATTTTGCTCCCCCAAAAAAATATTAGGTGAAGGGAGAGAGAGCGAGAGAGAGAGAGAACAATGGGGACAGCTAAAACAAAATCCAATAGTTCGTACACCCCCGTCCTAATGCCTTGGCATTTACATTCTGATGTTTTTAATTCTTACTTGATGTACACTACATTATGCCCATGAGTTAAGCTTAGTGCATTAAATCTACATATTTTTATGAGAGGAATGAAGAATGAGAAAGCAGCATCTTACAATACAAGTGTGTTTTCTTGATGGATGAATATCAATGGAGTGTACAATCCCAGAAGTAGTTCCATGAGCCCTGCAACATTATTAATATGAAGAATCACATCTCATCACAACAAAAACAAACCATGAAAAAAAAAAAAATGCTTCTACTCAGATGGACGGAGTTGAACCCAATTGTCAAAATATGCAGTTAAGATAGTGCAAACAAAACAAAAATAAACACTGAATTTAGAAGCATAATAGAAACTCATCTAAGAAAATGACTAATACCACTTAAGAACATATTAAGCTTCAAGAAATTCCTACATTGGTATGTTCAAATTATCAACAAATTATGAACTCCTCACGATCCTTGCATGTGAGGCGTATCACCATCCATCTTTTCTCTTTTGTTTATTTTCCCAAAATCGTAACTTTATTTGATAAGAAGCAAATTTTATCAGAACATATGGGAAATAGGTCCCCTTAACACATTAGAGCACAAAAAAACAACTGATTTTAGTTCAAATGAATAATATAATAGCTCCCAAAAAAAAAAAAAAAAAGAAGTCTGAAATGAAAAAGAAATAAACAAATAAAAAACCTGAGTGGAGAACAAAATAATTCTCATAACGAGCCGTGTTCAAAAAGGGGGATGAACGAAAATCTCACCAAAATGCTCTAATTAGAGGCTTTAACCTTGTGTCCTGGCCTCCAAAACTCTACCAGACATGAAAATGTGATCAATAGGTGACAACTGCTAAATTAGCTGAAACCTCCAAGTATATAAATCGCAGAACTCTTTGTACTCTCAAATATTACTTGCCAGCAAGTTACACTTACAGCCAGATTGAACTAACCTAAAGCTCAAGTGATCGCCCTTTAAAGCCAACAACATAAGCTCTAAACATTTCCAACCATTATCTAGAACACACCTTTAAACCCACCTCATATTGATAAAAGTACATAACTACACACCTTTAAGGTGTGTCAAGATGGGATCCGGATCCTCTCCAACACTTTCTTCATACAACCATCATCCAACACTTTATCCAAACACCACAAATGATAATGACTAGCTATTGAATTGTGGTATTTGGATCAAGTGTTGAATGATGGTCGTATAAAGTAAGTGTTGGAACTGGAAAGGGTGTTCCCCCAAGATGTATCCAAAATAACGGTTCATTTTTGGCTATGAAGCACGGACACCTCTCCGAGGGCTCCAAACCAGTGTCGGACACGGACATGCGTCGGACACGTGGTGGACACGTGTCTGACACGCAACTAAGAGTGTCCCAATTGTTTTTTATTTTTTTTTGCCGCCGGACATTTTTTTTTTTGCAGCCGGACACATTCTAGACGCGTTCGGAGACCTTCGGGGACACGTTCAGGGTCAATTTCATAGTTTATGGAACTTCTGTGGGTCAATTTGTAAAAAAATAAAAACAAAACAATATGTGCCCCAAATGGAGGTAGAACAGAGCAGAAAGAGAGAGAAAAGAACAGAAGAATAGAAGAACAGAAGAGAAAGAGATAACAGACCTGATTGTTCGTCGTCGTCGCTTGTCAGCTATTATCTAAGGTACACATTCACTTCTTCTTCTTCGTTCTTCTTCTTCTTCTTTGTTCTTCGATCTTCAATCTTCTCATTCTCCGATGCTGTCTCTCTCTCTCTCGTAGTCACTCACTCTCTCTCTCTCTCGCAGTGGCTGTCTCTCTCTCTCTCCCTCTCTCTCTCTCTCTCTCGTTGTCTCTGATCTTCTTCAATCTTTTTTTTTTTTCGTTTTCTTTTTCTTTTATACAGTCAGTGAGTGGGAGTCTCTCTCTTTCTTCTATTTTTTTTTCTAATTTCATTTTATATTTTCTTTTCTCTCTATGTGCCTTTGTTATAATTTTAATAGTATTATTTTGTATTTTTTTTATTATTTTCAAATAATTTTTTTTATAATTTTATGACATATAATAAATAAAATTAATTATATATATTAAACGTGTCCCCAGCGTGTCGTGTTCCTTATTTTTTGAAAATTTGTGTCCCTGTGTCCGCGTCGTGTCACGTGCCCGTATCCGTGTCCATATCCGTGCTTCGTAGATTTTCGGTATCGGGTAGGCAACTAATAGGCATGATAAATTTATGACATGTCCAGAATCCAAAGCCAAATTAAACCAGGACTTGAAAAATTCAGCCTAAATTGCAGTTTTCACTAGTAAAAGATAAAAGACAATAGTAGAGCAACCCATGCAATCTGCACAGGACTCTCACTGAAATATATTTCAGATTAACATTCCTTCCTAATTTTCAATTTAATATTTATCTCTACTTTTCAAAAAACGGGAAGATTCCCCAGCCCTATCTCATGTTTTCACTCCTCTACATTCTTAATTTTATACTATCTTTTACCCATTTAGTTTTACTTATAAATAGGAGAAAAAGAACAAAAAACACAACGAAGATTGCTCCATACAAGGATTGTAGGCCTTAAACAAAAATTTTAATGGATGGAAAATTGAAAACTAGCTGCCTAGTAATACCCAGACCAATCAATGGGAACCATGCAATTGCAGGGAATCACAAGCAAAAAAGACCGCCAACATAAATAATCATCCGTCTCTTTTTAAATCTCTCCAAAAGGGAATGGGGATTAGGGATCTTGTCTCTCTTCTTCATTTGTTTGGGACATGGCAAGCTAAAAAATTTTAAAAAGCGACGATTGGGAAAGGACACTTTGAAGCATATTTCTAATCCCAACTCCATACTCTAAAGCATTCACTGTACATCATGTACACAAAACACACCCACATACATTAAGTACACGTATTATTGCAGATAGATTGTACCAAGGTTTGGAAAAGCGGTTGCGGTTGCTGTAACGGTGGCGGTGACGCGGTTGTGATTGTGGGGTGTAAAGGCCGTAGTGTAACGGTTGCGGTAACCGGAACCGTGAATTTTTTTTATTTTTCGCACAATTTGAAAAAAACTTACCGATACACATATTTTTTTTCCATGATCATATTTATTGGGTTAAAAATAAATATTGATCAATTTTTATAAATTTTTAAGTATGATCCAATATATTTTATATTTTTAAATCACTATAAACTGAATTTTTTACATTTTATTTTAATAATTAATGACTTTATATTATACAAAAAATCAATCACTAACTATTATATATAAAATAAACAATAACAAAAGTAAGAGAATAAATAAGAGCCCCAATATATATATATATACACATATTTTAACCAACCCAAATAGATAATGACCACTTTTATTATTATTATTATTATTTTCAAACAATATATCTAGATAGACACACACAAACAAAATGGTTTAGTAATAGCAGTTGAATAGAATAGCATAGGTCATATAGCTTAAATAAATCAATGACATGTTCTTCATCTTCCCTCCTCTCTCTCTATCTTTTGATCTTCCATTTTCTCTTTTTATCTTCCCTCTTCTCCCATTTTCAATTTTTTTTTGTGTGTTTTTTCGAAAGAAACAATTTGGAACTGTTACGTAACGGTGCGTAACAGGCCGTTACGATTGTTACGGCGTCGTTACAACCACTACACTAGCCGTTACGGCCGACACATGTGTGAATCTCAATCACACTGCAAAAGCGGCCGTAACGGGTGGCGGTAACCGCCAAAATCGTTACGTAACGACGTTACGTAATGGTTGCGGCCGCTTTTTAAAACCTTAGATTGTACCCTTGTGACATTGGATGAGTCCTTGTTTCAACT